GAGGTCTTGGGATGAAGAAAGGAAAAAAAAGTTCCCGATGTTTTGTTATCCTGAGATATCTTAGGAATATCTCCAGGGGTTTTCCATGTCAGGTATAAGGTTGATCCTGGTGTGAGGGAGTACATGATACTAGATATTATATATATTTATCACATAGTGTCTACATAAGGAGGGATTTGGGAAAAGGGAGAGGTTGCTGTAGCAACCTGCTAGCAGCGGTCATCGGGGATCACTGTTTCGGCTCGGGCTTTACAGCCCGCTAAGGAAGGGGACAGCTGCTGGTGGAAACACCCGACATTTTTAGCGGACATTATATACATGGTTCGATAGCATATTAGTTTTCACAGCAGCAATTTGAATCCGATTCTTCTCCTTAGTTCAAATAATAGCTGCTGACAAAACCACTGAAAGCGAAAAATGGGCAAACGAGATTTTGGCTGGCTCCTAATTTCTAGCGGGTGTTTGAAGTGAGTTCTCTCACGTGTACAAAAACGGAGTAGTGCTTTGCATTCAGTGCAAAAAGAGGTAGCTAACACACCTTCAGAATAAAGCTAATCATGTTTGAAAATGATCATCTCACTTGGGTGGACCAATATTTGACAATCTCAGAATTTGCTGAAACTGCTCCACGGAAGTTATCTGGCATGCTAATTACAAAAATGATACTCGTTATACTTGTTAAGGCCATGTATGCCTAACGATAGCCACAAGTAGATGGTAATGCTAGGGTGAGGGTCTTTGAGGCACTCAGCAGGGAAGCGGGGATGGGCGTATGTTGCTGTCATATGCCACACCCAGGGCCTGGCACCAGCTGGCACGGGGCAAGCTGGATATCGTTTTTGGGGCAAAAAGCAAAGGGGGTTTCGTTTTTGTGGGCGAAGACATACGCAAAATTGGCGGCGACGACCTTTTTTTTTTTTTTTTTTTTTTTTTTTTTTTTTAGTCGACGTTTCGTTTTTTGGGGGATTTTGGGGATTTTTTTTAGGATTTTAGAGGGGATATCGTTGAGGATCAAAGGGGACTTCGTAAAATTTCCCAAAAGTCAAGGGGGACTTCGTAAAAATTGGCAAATTTCAAAGGGGACTTCGTTTTCAAAATTCCCTGGTGCCAGCTCGTGCCGAGCCCTGGCCACACCTCTTGCTCGATCGTGAGCATAAGTCTTTCGAAGACGATCCTATCCTTGAAACTCCAAACGACTCCTTCTTTCTTCTTTTCACCTGCGGGATCTCAGAGTGTGACATTATAGAAAACATCATCCTGTCTTGAAGGAAAATGTATTTTCGAAATGTACGACTGATTTTCTGTGACTGCACTTTTACAAGCGCACGTATTTTGATGGCTGATTTTGATCTGACTGGGCTATTGAAAGAACCATAATATTTTCCCCGGCGGTGGGATGTTGGCTCGATAACCTCTAGCGCCAGCACGGCTGAATTTAGCTCATTCGAGCGCTCCCCATTAAATCTATCGAAGAAAAACAGAATCCTGGAGCATCGTCGCAGCAAATATGCGAAAATCTTGCAATAAACTCGAAAATTAACATTTAAAAGTGAGGAACACCTTCATAAATTCAAGCACATGTCACACTTGCCTCACTTGCTTTGTAGATCGGTAGAATTTTTTATTGTGTGATAAAGGTAATCTCAGCTGTGAAAATCTTATACCTTGTAATCCAATGGAAATATTTTGTAATCTCAATATGGTCTAAAGGTCATTTTTTCTTAGCATCAATATTCCTGTCATCTATCTATTTTCAAAAAGGACGCAGGTACGAGTTGTAAAGCACTATCCCAAAAAGAACGGTCAAAGAAGACCTCAAGTTTCACACGGATCTCAAAAATGTTACTCGTAAGTGGCTTAGATAGCTTTTCAGTTACACCCCAGATTGTACGCTGGTGTACGGTGGAAGCCGGAAGGAGGAGGAAATTACGAAATGGAGCAAAAAATTTAATCTTCTCAAATCTTGGCTTCGTAGTTCAAACATCGCCCCGGCTGTTGTCTATATATGTGCACTCGCTTGACTTGGAATATTGAGGAATTAAATCCTCCCTGTTAGACTGTAAGAAAGACGGAGTGATTAGCGCCGCCGGAGTAGTTAATGTTAGGACAGAGCAGTGCAGAAGGGCATACACCCATTTTTTTGGAGGACGTGCGTTATACTACAAAGACCTCGCCGCCAAAGCTCGCCGCCATAGTCGGCACGCGCGCCGAGCTGGCATGCTGTATCCCGCACCCATTTTGCACCGGTGAACCTGAGCCATGAGGCAATCGTGCGGACGCAGCCTCGACAGCATTGTCGCGTTGCGACGTCGCGCCGCGATGTCGTGATTTTCACAAAAAGTTACATGAAAATACTCAGAAAAAAATTCTTCCTTCAGATTTCAACGTGCGACATCGTCCGTTGCATCGCATAAGGTGAAAATTCAAAAAGAAACTTAATAATTTCCTGTTTTCTATTTGAATCACGTTCATTTTCAAGTAAAATCAAGGAAAGAAAGCTGGCATCAGCTACCCTACTTTTGTCCTAATAAGTTAAGTCCGCAGGTCATCATCGCCGTACTAACGTCAACTTGCAATCTAGGCCACACGTCACAGCTTGCAGTGACAATTAAGTATCTATACCATGGCAAAAACAAACATGAAACAGAAAAGAAAACTAAAGAAACACTAGGCAGTTTCCAAACGAATCTTTCGTTTTTATTTGGAAATATAAACGAACATGAATCAATAAAAAACAGGAAGTTAACAAATTTTGAAATTTTCACTTTATGCGGCGCGACGGACGATATCACACGTTAGAATATGAAAGAGGAATTTTTTCTGTGAATTTCCATGTAACTCCTTGTAAAATTCGCGAGATCGCGCGCGATGTCGCCCCGCGACAGAGCTGACGAAGCTGCATTTGCGCGATTGCCTCATGGCTCAGGCTCACCGGTGCAAAATGGGTGCGGGATACAGTAAGCCAGCTCGGCGCGCGTGCCGACTATGGCGGTGAGCTTTGGCGGCGTGGTCTTTGTAGTATAACGCCACGCCGCCATTTTTTCCGCGTTTCCCATTCTCGACATTTTTGTTTTTTGGACAGGGCCCGGCACGAGGTGGGTGGGCAGACGAGGTTTTCCAAAACGAATTCCCCTTTGACCCCAATAGTTTTTTCGAGTACCCCCTTTAGCCCAAAAATAACGCTTTGTGCTTGTGGAACGAGAGCACCGGCCACACTTCGCCTAAAAGCGCTCAAAAGCGCTCAAAATGCTCAAATTCCTCTAATTACTCCTCACCTGTATCAGATAGAAAACAGGAAGAAGAATAAGCAAGGAAAATGATGAAGGCATGAAAAAATATTGAAGGAATGCAGTCATAGGACTGAGAGACGCCGTTCCCGCGCGTATCGATTGACTGGGGCGCGCTTTCCATCCTAGAAAGCTAGGCTGCTAATGCGATTTTGGGCTCTAAAAAAGATAAGAGGAGGAGTTTCGGAACCAAAATCCCACAATATAGTAAACTTTAAGTGTACAACAGATTTATGTAAAAATTTTGAAAAAATTATGTGAATTTGCTTGAATTTGAAAATTGAAATTGAATTTTAAAAAGTTTTGCCCACCTCAGGTGGGCATTAGGTCGGCAATTGCCCACCTAATGGAAAAAAGTTAAGCACGCTCTTCATCCACATAAGTTTTTCATAATTCTTCATACATTGTTCCTTAGTCTTACTGCGCGTATACACACCAAGTCTCGCGCGATTTCGTTTTCTCTGCGCTGCAAACGAGCCGTTTTTCCATTTTTTGATAGTGGGAAATTTTCAGAAAAAGCTTGCCACAACCTTCATTCACATAATTTTTTAATGAAACTTCTAAGATAAGCCCTGCAGGCCCGTGTTCATGTACCTACCAAGTTTCATACCGTATGGTCATCTGTGCGCTGCAAACGAGCCATTTGGATTCACATCTTCATTTACCAGTTTTGCGAATTTTTTGGAAAAAATGCTTATTACACCTCCCATTCACATAAGTTTTTCATAACATTTCATGCTTTGTTTCTGCTAGCCTCTCTTTGTTCGCTTACGTAATTTGGTGCTATATCATTACGCCTGCATTGAGAATTGATCATGTAATCATGCTGTTCAACGGCATCGCTCATGCGACGTCGTGCACATCCCACAAAAACGATATCCCCTTTGCTTTTTGGTTCCAAAACGATTTCCAGCTTGTCATTTGCCCACCTCGTGCCGGACCCTGTTTTTGGATCTCTGATTGTTCAATCTTTAGATGATGCTCATGCACAAGAATGAAGAACTACTTACAAGAAAAGTGTTTTCAGTCGAAGTGACCTCTCCAGATGCAATCTATCATATACCATTATGAAGAGCTAGCGCTAAGTCCAAGTCTGTCTTTAATATCTGCGGGCGCCTTTGCTCGCTGCGTTGTGTTTTTTTTTTTGGAGCAGAGAATGCAGATTCTTGGTGAAATCATTTGTTACGGTCGTTTGAGCTTTCAAATAGAACATTGTTGAGTTTGGGTGAAGTATGCAAAAGGTTGTCATTCGTTTTGGGTCTGAAGTATCTTTATCTCAAGCACTGGATCATTTAAGTAGTTGTGAGCATTTTGTCTCAGTTGAACGTTCACTTTGTCACCCCAATATGCTCATAACTCGGCGTCCAGAGGCGTTCGACAGGTAATGAAAGCAAATTTGTAATCAGCGTTCGAAGCGCTACAAAAGTATATAATTTCTCTTGACACGCCACTTTGACTAAACACCTCTGTCGGATAGATAATGTTTTGCTTTTCGAAGTTCACGGAAAAGTAAGCTGTCTCACAGCCTGAGGAACTTTGAATTGCAAAATCATGTTATAGTACTACCAGAGGTTACATTTGATTTATTGATCTGCATCTGCATCATATATTTTTTGAAGTGTTGCAACGCTATTACTCAGAACGCGATAGAACATTGCAGACTTAGAGAGTGATACCGTATTCGCTTATCAGTTGTACTCATTGGAAGCTTTCTGCCGCAAGAGAATAAAAACAATAAGGAGGTGTTTGATATACATGTTCTAATAACTGCACAATGGTTGCTGACAAACTACACTTTTTGCCTTATCCGAAGAGACGTGGCAACAATCCACCAAGCGTGAACAACTGCATGAGGGGGTTTGATCCTAAAATTTATGGATAGATTGAATAGAATTTTTGTCAATAGCATATGACACAATACTCACCTCCACCACCGAAAAGACCACCAAATAGACCACCACCAGAGCCACCCGATGAGCCGGAAGAACCCCCTGACCTGTAAATGGTGTACTTCGGCTACAAATAGTGTAGTGATTTTTCTTTGCAATTCTTTTCACAGTACACGTGAAGAATTCGCAGTCCATGGCACAGCATAGTTGCTTACAGGCTTTGCCGATGACTCATACGCTTTACTGTGGCTGTGGATATGCGCACACGTATCGCAAAGCGCTTGCGGTACGCTCACGAAGGGATGGGTGGTATACATAGGGCTATTCGAAATTTTTTTTTCAAACAGTCGAATATAGATTAATAATCGAAATCGAAATTTTTAAATGTTCGACCTTGAATACTCGACTTCTGAATAATGTCCTAACATCGATCATTTGTATTCGACCTTTCGGACATTATTCAGTTTTCGACTTTCGAATATCATCGAATAGAATGAACGTCAGTGAGGTGATTGCCTATGAGAACAGAACGGAACATCCAACAACAAGTTGTTTCATTATGCACAGATGCTTTTTATGTTGCAATTCTTGTTAAAAAACGGCTTAGTAATGACATGAGGAGTTCTGAATACCTAAAAGCCCATTCCTGTGACTGTTGTGAAAAATTTTTACTTCGAAGGAAATTATCATTCCAAACTGCGGCGTCCTTGAGTTTTGAAATCGAGCAACTATAGTTGCTATGCCAAAAACGGCTCTTTTGCACAGTGTCAGATTGCCGCATGGGGACCGCTCCATACGTATCATGGGATGAAAGTAGTTGATTGATATACAGAATGTCCCAAAGTATATAGATACCAGTGGCGGACCGAGGGGAGTTTCTGAAGTTTACTTACATGGGTTATAAAAATGTGCAAATGATTTGTTAATTCTTGTAAATAATTAAAGCAGTTTTTAAAATTTTTCAAAAATTTAAATTAGCCTTGCCAAAAAATTCCCCCTTTTCAAGATTTTGGGGATTATGGGCCTGCAAAAATTTTGAGAAACACCCCAAAAATTTTTTCGGAGTGCGTGAAAAAAGTTTTTGCCGCCCCCTCCCGGTCCGAAATCCCTGACCGCTACTGGTAGATATTATTCAATCGTTAGCTCTCCTCCCGCAAAGTCTTCAACCAAACAGTGACCCTTCTGTAGGGCCAACTTCAACTTAGATTTACACTATAAAGTTGGTTGCTCTTCACGGTTGTAGGATTACCGCAAGATTGAAGAGGGCTCTGAGACATTGGTTGCCATATTACTCAAAAAGGAAACCAAAAAAGTTGAAAACTACTGGGCATTTGGAGTCACTTATCTCAATGCCTGATTAAACTTTGCACTCAATCGTAATGCTCTTTGCACAATTCATGTGAGATACACCCGTAACAAATCTTTCCAATGCTCCCCAAAACGTGACTACACATTTGAAAAGCTTGTATAACTCGTGAAAAGTTGCCTTTGAGATATGCAGGAGTTTTTTCAGATGTCTAATTTCGCTCTCATGCTGTAAGTTCTTATCGTGTTACTATTATATAAAGCATGAGTGATCCGCTTTTGCTCTAAATCTTAAGTCAGCTCTACAGGATGTCACCCAAAGGTTGCCAAAAGGCCGTAGGAGAGGTTTCAGCGATCAGAAAGTGTTTAAATACTTTTCAGACACTCCGTATATGCTATGGATATCGAATTTTCGAATATTCGATGCCTATCAAATCTTCGAATAGGGGTGCTCGTCAAATATCCGATCACTCGATGAACGTCGAATAATTTAGATGAGCATCGAATATCCGATTGTCAAATAACATCTGAGAGTTGAGGTTTTAGAATAATCGAATTTTCATTTCGAATCGTTTTCGAAAATGAAAATTTCGAATATTCGACTGTCGAATATAAATCGCAGATTTTGAAAGTTCATTCGAATCGAATAATCATTCGATTCCGTCCAAAGTATAATGGCTAGGCACTTTACCAATCCTGGACCGTAAACTCTTATTCATGGCTTCAACTCTAATTTTTAGCTATTCTTGTATTATTTGTTTTTTCTTCACGCTTGCTGACAGGCATAAATGTTGAAGTTCTGATTTAGAGATTGTGCGCATCGCTTGGTTCAATCACTGGCTCATCTTCGATTGGCTCACTTAAAACGTGAAAATTGAACAAAAGCTTTTAGCGTTTCCTTGTATCACGTAGCTAAGTGCATGTGAGTTATCACTACTATTGCTATTCGTTTTGTGTAGTGACAAAAACGAAGATCACTCATCGCGTATACCCAAATTGAGGTCAATGCGATTTTGATCAGTACAGTAGGAAATCCACTGATTGAATAATTGTTCATACTCTGCTGCAATATGTGTGTGCGAAACGAGAAAATTGCTCCAGAAGGTGGATGCCTCTGGAGTCACTACCCCACCAACGTTGACGGAATAAAAGTAATGATCCAGAAACTGAACTCTGAAATATTTAGCTACATGGCGAAAATATGTTTTTGACAATGGAGTCATTGCAGACTGTAAGCCACACAAGTTGCTGGGCTGACAAATACATTAACATCCACATTCTGGAGCGATTTTCTCGCTTCTGAATACATTTCTTGCAGCAAGACTAGGCAACTACTTACAAAAAAAGTATCAGAGGTCACAGTGGCAGGTCATTTGACACAAGATAGGTATTATCTGGGCCGGTAGTGATCTAACCTATCTGGTGGCATTATAGATGCCGGCAAGTTGGCACACATCGCGGAAAGTTGCCAACTCCGGCGGCAGCTCGCGGAGTAGTCGTAGGTTCTAATAATCTTACGTAATCTTAATAAGCAATCACTCAGCACAAAAATCTTGATGGCGCAGACAGACGCAAAACAAGGACATCGCGCGCGTTCGAATCCGAATGCGTTAAATTATGTGTCACTTCACTTATCATTCGACCATTCGGTCGATCATTGTCTTCTGCATTAGCAATAAGAGGAATGCACTGGTAAGTGGCCGCCTGCAAAAGGGCATGATCAATGCATTGTATGAGAGACTTGGACCAGAAAGACAGCCTATTATACGAGCAAGAGAGGGGCAAAAAAGATGGTGTTTTTCATAGTTTCATTATATCAGTATATTTTATTCTAGAAGAGTATCATCATGATAAGCGCAATTTTTAATTCTTTCGCCTGACGTAAATTGTGCGATATTTCCGCATTACCCAAATTCACAGCCGTTGTCAGCAAGGTGTCAGCACCTCAACGTAGTAAGGCACATCGAGATGCCGGCAACTTTCTCTTTCAAGAGAGCACGCTATTTCTTGCGCTTTCTGATCTGCTTGCAAATGAGCTCGCAAAGTAGCTGGCAGCTCCTCCTGCGCTTCCCAATATTTCCCTACAGAAGGTTTCTGGAACTTCAAATTTTGATGGAGATTTCTAAAAAGTCGCGTGGCACCTTTACCCAGAAATTTTCTTGAAAAATCGTTTAGAGGCCTAGTTTTGGGATCTTAGTTTTTGGCGACCTCATGATTGGCGACATGTCGGCGATACCTGCTGCCAGATCGAGATATTACCACCGACCCTGAAGCAACTTGCAACGCTGATTTCAAGGTTTCTAGCTGCAAAACAAGTTTGAGGCGGGAGTCATGGACATCTCAATTACCAAATTCTACACGGTTTAGAGCACCTTGTGATTATGACCCAAAATACAAAGGCTTTATAAACTTTGGCTACTCTCAGCCTTGTAAACTTCTTGCAAATTAAGACGATAATTTCCGACCAAGATTCGCTCCAGCTAAGGAAGGCTGTTTTGGAATCAGCATTTCAAGCTGCTTCAGACTTCTCATGCCAAAAGGTCAGTGCGACTTCTGAGACTCCCTTTGTCAGTTAGGGACCTGCTGCCCTGCATCAAAACCTTATCAGCTTCATATCCGAATTGACGGTGCCTTTAATGGTGGGCGTATATGTTTGAATGGTTCCAGCGAATGTAATCTGAACAGTATTCGATTCCGTTCCCAGGTTACAGTAATCGCTACTGATCTCATAACTCAGAGACGTCACGTTTTGGACTGTTCATCTTCTTCAAATTTTCAAACCTTCAGAATTCCATAAAAGATGGCTTTTAAGCAAAGTCTGTTGATTACTCCGCTGATAATAAGCCGTTATGTTATTATAAAACGTAGCATAAACTATAAATCCTAAATACTACATGAAAATTTCAACATATTTCTGGATGTTTTGGTCTCTCGAAGACAGTCATCTTATAGTACAAACTGTTCGAGTAGTATTCAAAAAACGAGTATCACCCCAAAATCCCAATATATGGCCTTTCATCAGATAAGTCTGAGATAATTTCTGACTTACCTGACAGTCTTCGGATTTATCTGACAAGATTTTAGCGTGTTATAATGAAAAAAAAAGGACTTAGTTGTAGGGCGGATTATTTGAAGGGTCTACGTGCAGAATTTGTAGATCAGAAAAGCGGACTTATGTGTAGGGTTTTAGGGTATCCGAAAGTCGAAGGGTAAAAGTCAAATGATACTGAAAAGTTAAGCAATATTCGAAATTCGAATACTCTTGTATAGTGGAAACTCGAAATTTTCGATTTTCGAGTATTGTTCGATAGTCGAATATTCGAAAATTTCCGTTTCCGATTTATTTGATTCTTGTATATTCCAGAAAATTTCGAATTTCCCCAGGTATAGTGGTAGCGAAACTTTGAGCAAACGCACCACTTATCGACTTTCAAACAAATAGGATTAGAGTTGATTTCCTCGCACAATCGTTTTCATGTCATTAATCGATGTCTATATTTCCTCTGTAATCTTGATAGTGGATGTGCCACTACTTTATTACACTGCAAATCTCATGGTGCAGTCACTCAAAGTAACTGTTGAAATGGACCAAAGTGAAAAATTTGTACATACCCTCCAATTATGACGCAGCACCTCGCTTGGATCTTCTGTGTGAGTGCAGAAATGAGCAAGCAAATGAACAAAGTTGCATACATATGCGGAAATAGTCGACCTGAATACTCATAATATCGCCAGAAGCACTAGTTAGATGTTTACTCCTTAATCTTGTAATTATTAGCTTAGGTTAGAGATACAGGAAAAGGACGTTCAGTGAATTATATTGTCATAGGATCATGATGTAAGTGAGAGACAGTATTGCTCCACTCCTTCCTAATGCGTGATACGCAAAATAACCTGCAAATGGCCCTTCTTGACATGACTACGGGGATACCTAGCTCATTCATAGTGGCAATTCATTTTTCTACGATGAACAAGCTTTAGGTCTTGGAAAGATCGAACTGCGCTAGCGATCTTGAGAAGACAGGGCACGGCACAGGTGCTTACCAAGCAAGTTGGATATCGTTTTTGGGAGAAAAAGCAAAGGGGATGTCGTTTCTGCGTTCCGGGTACCGTCTGCTGCCGGCATTCCGGCGGCATGCTTTCGCAAACAAACAGAGGGCTTGTTTACAACGAAGTGAAAATGAAATAAGACCAAAGGTTATAGATGGACAATGAGGAGTTGGGACTATGTACAAAAAATTATGAAAAAATTATGTGAACTGGAGGCGTGCTTGACTTTTTTCGGAGTTAGATAGCTTTCAAGCCACCTGGAAGCCACCTGAGGTGTCTTGGGAAAGAAAGTCATGAAATTTCCATTTCCCTCCTCACATAATTTTCTTACTTTCTCTACATGAATCTCATCTACATCCCAAACCCCACAAATTGGTTTTTGAATCGCCTCAAACCCCCTACTGCCTGCTTAGTTACAGCCCCCTGAAAATTTTGAATGGTGGCGGCAACGCTGTTCTGGGTGCGTTTTTGATGCGTCTTTGGCGTTTTTTTGTTTTGCTTTGTTCCGTCTCTTTTCATGTGTCTTCCTTTCTAATATCTCGGCGGATGTCGTACTTTCGTGAAATCAAAGGGGACTTCGTTTTTTTGCAATTTTGGGAAGCCACTCGTGCCTAACCCTGTGAGAAGAGTCGGGAACAAAATTCTGTCAAGACTACTTCAGATGAATTTTGCTTATGATACACCATGAAGGCACCGCACCCCGAATTGGAGGATGTTGTAAATTTGATAGTATTAGGGTGAACGGCAAAAAATGGGACAGCTTGATTTTTATAAGATTTTGGTTTTTTTGTTGTTTCGATCAACAACAAGCAGGTTGCATTTCAGACGTTGCTTACGTAAACGACCTTCGCCTATTGTCCTGATAACGCGTTCACGCTCCTCTCCCAAAACCCTGCGCGTGGCGCTGTGGGAACTCGAACATTGGAAAATCTCTCATTCTTGCGCTGCTGTACCATAAAGTCATACAATTGTCATATCTTTCAAAACAGCTCTTCATGCTCATTCAAAAACTATTTTGAATATATAGGATTCCTTTTTATTCCTGGATAAAAAAGCAAAATATCTGGATTCGCGATATTTCGGCGCAATAAAAACAAAAAATCATGTTCCATTCTATTTCTTTCGAGCACAGATAAAATTTGAGGAAACTGCATATGGATGGATAGAGCGTGAGTTTCATCAAATGGTACCCAGATAACGTGCGTTCACATGCAAGGAAGTAAATAACACGCATCTTCAACTTTGTTCCAGAAAATGCTAATGGCCATATCTCCTGACCTTAACCGTTGCAGCCAGCAAGCCATCATGGGTCTGGTACCTGACCTTCTCCCATTGCAACTGTGGATGGTCTCACATATTTCACTGCGCAGATACTGTTCGATGTTTATAATTTGTCGAAGTGACTAATATTGCATTTCATCTTATACAGTGACCGCCAAAAAGTTGCGGACAACCTCCCTCCCTTTTTCATCGCTCTTTTTCAGAGAGAAAACAAGGATGAAAAAATGTAATAATTGCATGAGGTGATAGAGCTCTTCAAGATCTGCAATCTACACTTTGAGTTTTTTGAGAAACATGTGTTCTAAAAATTTTAAAAACCTTTTTCTGAAAAAAAGTCCGAAAATGGCAGCGTCACAATGTCGCGGACAATGGTTGCTTTCCCAGAAAACGCAAGCTTGAGTTTTATTTTGGTTTTTTCAAAAAACAACTTCTGATTTCCTTTATCAAGCCAAATTTCTTCACGCGGAAACCTGTTCAAGACATCCCAACGAAGCCGTCTGGATAAAATAGATGCTCTTTGCCGTCCTCTATGCATCGGACGTGTGCTGATGAGTTTCTTGGCTGAAAATGGCCCTTGGCAGTGCTTGCATATGACCCCACCTGCACCTCACCACTGACTTGTACCGCTTTGCAGGCTTGTAACTCGGCCTGCAGTCAATATTTGAGCCTGCAAATAGACTCGTTCGGAAGAACGAGACTTCCTTTACACGATAGTATGCAAATAAGTTCAGTTTGAGCAATCCCAGAGATTTGGCGGATGGGGTGGTAGAGGGCAGCTTCAGTTGTAGTCTAAGCACTTTTCAGCTAAAGATGAATAGAGGCCATGAAGCTCATGACATATGACATAGTGAAGCACGACGAGATGCCGGCGGGTTGCACTCCTCAATAAGCACATTATTTCTATACTTTTCTGACCTGCCGGCGAGCTGCCAACAGGTTGAGGGCGAGATCGCGACAAAAATTTCGACAAAATATGATAGCTTACGAGGTTGCCGGCGGGCCAGTCTTCTGGGTCCAAGATTAATTGTCGGAAATTTTCCGATTTTTTCGATCTCCATCTGTTGCCCAGCTCTAAGCTGGGCCGTCAGACCTGGAGAGTGCTAGACTCATTGCTTTGGGGAATCTAGAGAGGGCGTTGGCAGTTTTCATGACCTGAGGGCGAAATCGCGGCGAGTTGAAGGCAAGATCGCTGGCAGGTAGGGTAGATTACTACCATCCATGGAGGTCTGATCTCGCGCTCTCTATCCACCCTCAATAGAGCAATCTTTATGCTTCCAGTGAGTTTGAAGAGAGAAAAGGTTTTTAGAGAAAAGACGATTGGTCGCGGGGAATCATTGGGGGCATGGTAAGAGGGATGAAAGGGCATATGATCGAAGAGGCGCCGAGGATGTTAGGCGACCGTGTGATGACTCGCAAAGATCAAAATGAGATTTCGTAGTTTTGATCTTTCAAGCAAAAGTCCGGAGGGGTCATTCGTGGGGTTCGATGTAAAAAACCGCAGTTTCGCTTACTTGTGTGAAAACTACTGACGCGGGTTGACTGTTTTATTGAATTGGACATGTAAATCACCTTTTCATCTACAATTTTCTTGTTGTAAAGTATACACGGTGTCCCAAAAATGGGCCTAGTATTTGATTGTTAATAACTCTTTTGTAATGGAGTTTTCAAAAAGCTCTAGGTAACATTTCGTAGAGCTGGCTTAAACTTAGATTTACGGTATGGTGCGGATTACCGACTGCCTCCATTACTGTAGGATTGCGGCAGGGACTTTGAAGAGGGCATTGAGCCATGAAAGTTGCCTCAGAAAAGAACCAGAACAACCTGAAAACTCTCATTCTGTGCTTATTAGAACTGTAGATTCTAAATTTGAAGTTTGCAACTTGTCATAATGCTCCATTAGAGAGTTACGCAAGGCAAGCAGTAGTGGCCGTTTTTCAGTGTTCCCAAACAATGCGGTTACCCGTTTAAAAAGCTTCGCAATTTTGTACAGAGTTGAGTACTGAACTCAGCGTCCACGAAAATCCTATCAATAAGTTTTCACATCTTTGAAAATTTCCGAAATGGCAGCTTTTTTCACAATGACACCATGTGCTTGCAGTTTCTAACGTAATCCCACAGGAATGAAGAGCGATCGCTGATTCGTTCTACTGTAACTCTAAATTGAAGCCAGCTACAAACGGTACCCAAAGCTTCTCGAAAGACTTCAGAAGATAGTTGTATTAACAATCAAACGATAGGCAATTTTTGGGATACCCTATGTGTAGATTTTTTTGAGGTTACTCACCGTGAATAGCATACATATAACAAGGGACGTGAAGTCTTCGATTATTTTTGAAAAACTAGAGAGAACCTACTGTCATTTACAATCGGCGATTAACCGTTTGTAGACTAAGATGAAGCCAAAAAGGTTTTGTGTGCATTTCGTTTTTCAACATAATTGGGAAGAAAGTCAAGTTTCATACAATATTCACAGGACTCCTAGGGGATGAAACAATAAGCTATATTCTATTTGATTGGAAAACGGAGGATACACGTGTAGTGACAATTACTTGAAAGCAGTCTTTGACTTAAGCCACCTGCGCTTTTATGCAGATTGATTGAGAAATCGAGAGAAAGGTAAGAGAGCACAACGAGACCTGTTCAATCAATGTACAAGGTAATGTTGGAGAGGATGAAACTGGACTGTCTAGTAAGTGGCATCCAACTTCATTTCGAGGGTGACTTAAGAAAATGTTGACTTATGAACTCCTGCTAATTTCAGAGTAAAAACGCTTTTCTTGATGCCTATAATGATAATTGCCCATAATAAGGCCAGTTTGGCGCACAGCCTCACAAAGGCATATAGTGCAGCAATTTTAAAAACCTCTTGAACTTTAGTTTTGCAGCGTTTTCTTCTAAACACAATTTTTTGTGAAGTAATGAATCTAAACCAGAATTTCTCATATAACGATCAACAGTTTCTTTCAAGGCGGAATGTAATCTTTTGAAAGTAAAAAGTGTTAATGGATTGCACACGTTAGACTTATTCCATGCCATCAAAATCTTAAAGGTGCGTTTACCCAAACTGAGGATTCTGAGACATTGCTGAGCCCCTAGCTAAGTAATCGCCGAACGCTCTAAAGGAAGGATTGTAAAGCAAAGAAAAAAAAGAAGAGAAAAGAAGAGAAGAGCTGTCACGTTGGCTCCGCGCATCTGCTTGTTTGTTCTAAAGGCAACACTTCCAAAAAACGGGCTTCAGAGTACTTAGAGACCTCGAAAATTTTGCAATTACAGTGAGAGACGGATTTGTGACAAGATACATTAATAATCTATCAAATGATCCTGTTTCGCCTCACCCTCTAGGCAGGAAACTGCGTTAGACCATTCCCGAGGCTCATCAGA